TCGCAAAAGGTGTTTATCGTGGCCAGCTACTATGATCACCTGAACGATTCGCTGCTGCACAACTGGCCGCTGGCCATCAACATGTGGGTCGAGACCTTTGTGGTGGCCAATCGGGTGAAGGACTTCCTCTTCCAGCACGAGAATCCCGCCGATGGTGGAGTGCACAACTTCAAGGAGGCCGAGGATAATCCGGAACATGGCAATTTCTCGGGACGAACTCACAGACCCAAGGCTGAGGTGAAGAGCATTACGGTCCAGAAGCTAACAGCCAGTTGGGATCAGGCGGAGCAGGAGAAGCGCCATCGCCACATCGAGGATGTGAGCTTCCAGGCGACGGATCAGCAGTTCGTGGGAATCGTGGGTACAGTGGGTGCTGGCAAGAGCACTCTTCTCCAGGTGATCCTGGGAGAACTGGATATTATCAGTGGCAGTGTGGACCTCAATGGAGTCCTGAGCTATGCCCCTCAGGAACCCTGGTTACTGCGTGGTACTCTGCGAGAGAACATCCTCTTTACGGAACCCTACGACGAGCAGCGCTACTTGGAGGTCCTGCGAGTCTGCCACCTGGACAGGGATGTGGAGCAGCTGCCCTCGGGTGATAACACCAGGGTGGGCGAAGGTGGTGCCAGTCTGAGTGGTGGTCAAAAGGCCCGAGTTAGCTTGGCTCGGGCTGTGTACCGGAAGGCGGACATCTACCTCCTGGACGATCCCCTGTCCGCCGTCGATTCGCATGTGAGTAAGATGCTTCTGGATCGCTGTCTCAACGAGTTCCTGTCCAAGAAAATCCGTATCCTGGTCACCCATCGGGTGCAGTTGCTGCGACATGTGGATCACTTGGTCCTGCTCGAAGGAGGTCGCATCTCTATCCAGGGGCATTATGATGCCCTGAAGAAGCTTATACGGTTCAGGATGTCGGTGGCCAATGACGTCGAGGTGGCCAAGTTGCGGGCCATGCGAACGGACAGTGTGTACGAGGAACCGGAGCCAAGGAAGTCTCTGTCCCAGGAGGAGCATCTCGATCGGCATGAGATTGAGCAGCAGTTCAAGGAGCAGCAGCAAAGGGGATCCGTCAAGCTGAGCACCTACAGGGAGTACTTCAGGGTGCTCGGACATCCATTGGTGGTGGTGCTCATCCTGCTGATGTTCGTCGTGGCCCGGGCCTCCGAGGCCACCATGGATATCTTCCTTTCCAAGTGGTGAGTGGTGTTAAAACAGAAAAATTCCCCTTATACAAAATATAGTTAAGATTACCCTATTCGCAAAGTCTTTATAAAATCCAAAGTCATTTCAGTTATTTTAGGCTTAAATGACTAACCTCGAAATAAGATGAGTCAGTATCGTTTATAGATTACGACATGTTTAATAGCACTACACATTGATAAAAACATGTTCCAGTTGTTGATTGCAATAAATATTGCCCGCATTTCCGGACAGATGGAGCAGATTTCACTATCTCGACGCCACACATGTTATATGGTTATTCCAGTATCAGAAGGCTAAACTAGAAAGTCATGGTTTTACAAGCCACGAACTTTAAGACATCATAGATTATTTATTGATTAAAATGAGCATTTAATACACTTTAAGTTTGTAAATGATTCTTATAACTTATAACAATATTTTCACAGGGCAACTTGGGAGGAGACGGAGCCCAATCAGCACGAGCCCATTCCGGAGTATCACAGGACTCGTTTGCGCATGATGATCCTCTACACATTCCTCATCCTCTGCACCCTCGTCTTCTATGTGCTGCGCACCTTTGGCTTCTTCATGATGACCCTGCGGATTTCGCTGCGCATCCACGACCAACTCTTCCAGGGAATCATCCGCGCCTTCATGCACTTCTTTACGCTGGCCACCTCGGGGAGGATTCTGAACCGCTTCTCCAGCGACATCCTGGCCATCGATGTCAATCTGCCGCAGGCTCTGATGGACTCCATTGAGTTCGCTGTGAATGCATTGGCTGTGCTGGCGGTTGTAAGTACGGCCAACATTTGGCTCCTCATCCCGGCCACCGTGGTTGTGGCTTTACTGTACGGCTGTCGGTGTCTCTACATAGGAGCCAGTCGGAGTCTTAAGCGCATAGAGACTATATGTGAGTGGCTCTATCTACTAGTCTTCTAAGCCACTAACTCAAGAACTCAATTATCTTCAGCTCGCAGTCCCATCTACTCGCACACGAATGCCACATTCAGGGGTCTGGCCACCATCCGTGCTCTGAATGGCACCAAGTACATGGAGCGGGACTTCCATTACTACCAGAACGAGAACACCTCTGCCCTGTACCTCCATGTGAGCATCAACAGGGCCTTCGCCTTCTGGACGGATCTCATCTGTGTGCTCTACATCCTGGCGGTGACCTTCAGCTTCCTGCTCTTCGACAAGCACCGGGGTTACTACAGTGGCGATGTGGGTCTGGCCATCACCCAGTCCATGAAGCTGGTGCTCATGTGCCAGGCGGGAATGCGGCAAACGGTGGAGCTGGAGAACATGATGACCAGTGTGGAGCGGGTGATGGAGTATGTGAATATACCCTCGGAACCGGCCTACGAAACCGAGGAGTCGGTCAATCTGCCCAAGCAGTGGCCCAGTGGTGGGCAGTTGGACTTCCGGGATCTTCGCCTGCGCTACAGCAATAATGGTCCCTATATCCTGAAGGGTCTCAACTTCACCATACGCGGTGAGGAGAAGATCGGCATTGTGGGCCACACGGCGGCGGGAAAATCCTCCATTGTACAGGCGCTCTTTCGGTTGGCTCACATCGATGGACACATTTCCATCGATGGCTACGAGACATCCGAGTTGGGACTGCATGATTTGAGGCGCAGGATCTCGATCATACCGCAGGATCCGGTTCTTTTCTCGGGTTCTCTCCGCTTCAACCTCGATCCCTTCGAGGAGAAGACGGATGAGGAACTTTGGATGGCCCTGGAGGCTGTCAAGCTGAAGGAGTTCGTATCGAATCTGAAGGAGGGCATCAACTGCAGGCTCCACGATTGCGGGGCCAACTTCAGCATGGGCCAGAGGCAGCTGGTCTGCCTGGCCAGAGCCCTCCTCCGTCAGAACAAAATACTCATCATGGACGAGGCCACAGCCAATGTGGATCCCGAGTACGTATACCGATATTCTGAAGTATTTATTTTATAAACAACAAACCCGGTACATTCTAAACAGAAAATCAGCTGACTGATATAAAAAGTTTTGCTAGAACGCAAAAAATTTGATTGATTCCATAATTCCCGCGGTTTGCTTCGGCCTCAAAGATCAAAACTAGCGATGTCAAAAGTGACAGCAAAAATCAAAAGAATCACTTTGGCTTCAAAATCAGCTGATGTTCATCATTATAATTTGTCAATGAAGTCAAAAATTTTAGCTTTGAAAAACGGCGTAGAAAATATTGACACCTTAACACGTGCAGCTGATTAGTTTAGGACTAAGTGGCTTAAAATATTTAAATTGTAGTAAAAAGTGTTTTCAACAATGGAAATTATCTTGAAGTAGAATTTTCAATAGATAGATATTTTTAATAAAATTAACCAGTAAATACTGAATCCATTTATGTACCTATCAAAATGTTCCATAAATTAATTTACTGATCACCCTACTAATGTGAACCCCCCTCTTAACCCTCCAGAACGGACAATCTAATTCAGGAGGCTATCCACACCAAGTTCGCGCACTGCACCGTCCTGACCATCGCCCATCGGCTGCACACCGTGATGGATAACGACCGGGTGATGGTGGTGGACATGGGCCGGGTGGTGGAGCTGGGGCATCCGCACGAGCTGCTGCACAACAGGCACGGGTATCTGCATCGGTTCGTGGAGAAGACCGGCGTGGGAACCGCCCAGCACCTGAGGCACCTGGCGGAGCAGAGCTACCGGAAACGGGTGCTCGGGAGGAAGTCGGAGGACCAGGGATCCGTCCTCGAGCTGGGATACAAGGGAACGACGCTGTGAAAGACTGCTGGGGGAAATTAATTCGTACAGTTGGGTAGAGGGCTTGCTTTTCTGTTAGGTATGGTAATATAGACTTTATTATAGTGAACTGATCTTTAAATATAGTTATATATGTATATATTTAATATGTACTTCATAATATACTCGTACTTAGTTGTTTCAACTCGATCGTTTGCCCTCTTGAATTTGAAAAAGCAATTATCTTGTAGGTTAAGATTACATTACCATCGTCTATATTTTGCTACTCGTACTGTCTGGCTTTGATTCGCTCTCTATAACTACGATCCTTTCTAGTTTCCTTTTGGTTTCTTTGTAGTTACAAGTCACATGAAAAATCGAAATGTTGAACTCTATAAGTTGCTTCTCTTCTAGGCTTAAAGATTTAGGTTTGTCTCTTCATTACTTTAGTTTTGTTTTGTTTTTTAGTTTGTTGTATGGCTTAGATGTGCGATAATGGCATTTGATTCTAGATGTATAATATTAGCATTACAAGAATTCGCTTCATATATAAAATTTTTGTTTTCCTTTGGTAGAGTGTAAATGAATTTATCGCATTCGGTTTGGTAGCAGTTTTTCACGAAACTTTAATACAAGTTCATATAATAGTTGTATGTAGTTGTTGTGTATAATGTAAATATTAAAGTAAATAAAGCATATTCATGTATGTATATAATTGGTTTTAAAATATTCTTTTCTTACGCTCGTCATTGGTTTAGCTTATTTAAAATTCGCTTAAAGTCTGCCTTCAACAATATTTGATGTAAATAGAAAAATCAGTGATTCATTTATTTGTATTCTCTTTTATAATTAGTTGTAATATACTCTAAATCTTTTGTGCTTAGATGTAAGTGTTTTGCGGTTGGTAAAAACAAAGTTAGACCTTGAAATTCTTCCCCAAATTCCAAAGCCTAGATTGTTTTATTGAATGCCCTTTAGAATGTATGTAAATAAGTAACTAGATTTGGTTGTCCTAGAAATAAGATTGTTTGTTTGCTCATTTGGTTTTAAGAAAAATTCGATGCTTTAATAAAATTGTTTTCGTTTTTTTTTTAAGTTTTCCTTTTTTTACTCTAGTTGTAATTGTTTAGCTAGAAGTTCTCAAGCAACTTTAAGATTTTTTCGCTTTACGTTTATTTGTATCATGTATTCATTTGGTATTCTCACAGTTAAGCTTCTTTGATTGAGCACAAAAGCAAATGAGAATCGTCTGTTTTTGGGGGCAACAACTAAACCTTATCAATATCGATTTCTATTCCTACTATGGCTATAACTTGGAGATCCGTTGCCCGATTGTAGTTCGACCTTCGCATTAGACAGACCCGGAAATCTTCCCCTATTCCCGACTAGCCCAATACACTGCCCGAAAATACTCGGCCCCGATCTGCAATGTGCGGTGTGAGATTGTAAAAAGGCTGTCGAAACGAAATAAAACTCAGCATAAAATCTACGTTGCTTTTAAGTTCGAACTGAAACTTCAAATCATATTGTTCAACTGGAAGTCAATTTAGATTTTGGACTCTTGGCGAGCTTGTATAATCATTATCCTTAATATCATGTTGTGAGTGTTCCCTAAAATTTGCTCAGCTAGTTGTTAAAAAATATAGGTACTCCTTTTCAGTATCCCCTACATCCGAACCTACACTATGTTCGAGAACCGAAAGTAAATACCGAAAACGAGAATAACGTGAACGTGCGTGCTTCGCAATGAAACGCATATTTTGATTATAAAATATGGTCCCGAGGTTGTTAAATATTTCTTCAACTTGGTTTGTCATCGATTCTGTTTCTGGGTAATAACATCCATCTGTGGGAGCTAGAGCGGCAATTGGATCTATAATATAAGTATAGATAAGGCGTTGTATCAGCGGTTTGCATTTGGTTTCTTTTTCTGCCAATTAATCGCATCTTTGGCCACGATGCAGTGCCTCCGATGGCTGGCTATAGAACACTACGATTGAGATCTTGCCCAAGGTTTCCTCTACGCTGTGCTTTTGTTTTTGAATCCTTAAAGCCTTTAACCCAAAGCTTAGTTATATAACTGCATTACAATATGTTATTTAAATTTATAAAGTTTTTCTCTTTCGGTTTTTTCGCTTTTCTTTCTTTTTTTTTTTGTTTTTTTGGTTGAAAAAAAGAGTAGTATGAATTTGTTATGCAAGGTTTTTTTCAATTATTTTTTACGGTGTAGTCGTACGTAAGTAATTCATTTAGCATTGTTCTGGGTGTATGTGTGTGTGTTTTTCTTTTATATGCTCCCTATTTATATAATAAGTATATAATTGGTTTGGTTAAAAAATTTCCATTAATTGCAAAAATTGTCTTTGTCAAAAAGAGTCGAACAATGGCCTCGTGTGTGTTGGTTTTTTGTGTGTTGGTTGCCGGGGCCACGCCCCTTTCGGGAGCGGACCCGCCTTATTATCGCGTGCATATATCGTGACTATATGTTTGGTTTTTTCTTCTTTGCATTTCGTGTCCAGTGTTCGTGTGTCAGAGAGTTAGCCAGTTAATCTTGCCTAAACCATCATGCTTTATACTTGAAATTTTCGATCCTGCTCCTCTTTACTTGTGTCCCGGCTCGATGATCTCCACGGTCACGCTCTCGGCCACCGGGTTCGTGGTGATGTTGGTGATCAGCGACTGGTCCTGCGGCGACTGCGGCTGCTCCTTCGGCTGCTGGTGGCCATGTGGGTGGTGCTGGCGATGGGCGGATCCGTGGCGCTCGTGGTGGGCCACCTTGCCGGGAGCCACTGAGTTGCTGCGATTGGAGCGCACCGAGGCGGCCGATGCATTGCTGCCATGCGACTCCGAATGGGATCCTGTGGGGAAGATTGGATGGCCATCCGAAGGAAAGGGGATGAGTTTCTGGGGGCTAAGGATCTCAGCTACACGCTACTCGGATAACCGGTTGAAGGGAAGTTATCGTTGGCATCACAGGACAACAGCAATGTGGTCAACGGAGGCCCGACCTCGAGTGGAGTGACCCACTGGATCCATCGAGTCCCCCTTTCTACGTGGAATGTTCTAGGTAAAGCAGTCGATCGAAGGAGTTAACAATGATTTCTTTATAATTTTTAGATTTTTTATAATATTTAAATTAAATCACCTAAAAACTCCTTCGATCGCTTACTGCCTTTTAAAGTTATTTATCTTAAAAAAGCCGGTTTAGGAAACTATAGATAGGTAGCCGTGCTAGAAAGGAAATAAACCAAAGCGGAAACGGAACTCAAAAGGGATGCTGCAATGGATCAGAGTAGGTTAGAAAGAGAGAAAGATTTGATGAGGTTTGGTATCGAGTATCGAGTATCTACGATCGTATATTCTTGTTTCTGTAGCGGATCGTGTCTGCATCTTGGTCTGCTTTTGTATCTTTGGGTGTCTTCTAAGGAGGCTTAGTACTGGGTGTGTGGTGGAAGTTGGAGTAGTAGTAGTACATACAGGTAAACCGCAACTCTCGACTACGGATTAAGACTAGGGTAACAACACTTCGAGCCAACGAGAACAACAACAAGAACAACGACTACGAGTACACCGGGAAAAAGACGTTATGAAATCGTGTATAGAAAAACTATTCATAATTTAAAATAGCTAGTTGTTTAATTAAGGATCTTAAGTTTGAGTAAGTTTAATAATATTGCATAAAATAAGTTCGGAATTATAGAAGAGAGAAGTATTACAACACCTTGAGATATCACTAAAACAATAATATTTTACTTTTAAAGAATACTCATAAGAATTACTAGACTTTAAAAATCAAATACCAAGACATCTTCCGACTTCAGCTAACGTGATTTCCCCGAGTGTAAGATTACAACTGTTTGGACACAACTTTCGCTAGACAAGACATCAACTTTACGAGTACACTACGCAGACTGTCAACGATTTGGGTGGGTTCTTTTTGGGGGAGTGGGAGTGGGAGTGGGTGTGGGTTTGCTTTCAGGTCTGCCTACCTCTTTGGACCCTGATATGGATGCATTTGTTTTTAGCGTTTTCTGAGTGTGATACGTTTGCGGACATACACAGATATGTAGGTATGGCGGGGTGATCTAGAGCTCTGCTGCCGTAGAACTCTAGAGCTCTAGAACTCCGACCACGGACTGGTGGTGGTGGTGGCTTTGGCGGTGTTGGTGGTGCTAATGGCGTTGCCCCATGGTTGGTGGCTGCTGGTGACCCGCCGTCGGCGGGGGCGTGGGCGTGGGCGAGGGCGTGGCCGAGGCAGCGTACGTTGCGGTGGCATTCGTGGCCGTCATTGTGCTGGCCGTGGTCGTTGGCACGTAGGGCAGAAAGTGGCTGTGGACCAGGTTGTGCTGGCTGGCGGCACTCGGATGCTCCAGGAGTCTCGAGCAGGTGGACACATCGCTCACCCGCGAGTCACTCGACCGTGTGTTGCTCTTCGAGCGGATCATTCGTCCTTTTTTGTGTTCGGTTTTATTTGTGTTTTCAGTTTCAGTTTGTTTCGTGTTTGTTTGTTTGTTTGTTTTGGGGGGAATGAGCGGTTGGATACGTTTAATATTTCGCCTTTAGCTGGGGCACGCGACATCGAGTCAGTGGGTTAATTGGGTGGTTTCGGTGGTTGGGTGGCTGGTTGGTTGGTTGGTTGGTTGGTGGGGGCGCAAAACTCAAACAAGAATATAAATAACCCAAAAAAGGTAATTTCAAACAACTGTCCGCTGGGCTTAGCACACCAACAATTATCACCGTAATGGCGTTGAGTAAAACGGTTCTTAAACTGTCCGTCAAATTGATTGAGCCCCCCGAAGAGTTGTTGTTCCTGTTTCGCCAGTCTTTAGTCTTTAGCCGAAAATAAGGTGGCGAATATGGCCAGATAGTCGATACTATGCTGCCCAGCGCACTAGTTGCGGGTAAAAACCATAAGGAGAATGGGTAAAAATAAAAATGTTTATTTCCTGAAGCTTCCTTAATTATTTTTTTACAGATTTAAATGTATAGTTATAATCATTTCTCAATCGTTTGAAGCATTATTATTTTTATTAACGAATGGAGTTTATGTTTGGTAATATTTTATGATAACAGTTTATAAATCAAAAGGTTGACTCGGAAAGCAGGCAAAAAGTATACCATTCCATTCCAGGTTTTTAAATGAATTTAGCATGCTGAAGGGATCTTAACTTCTTTAGTCTTCATTAGACGAACAATATTAGAATTTTATATTGAAATCCTATACTGAAATCCTGTCTACCACTGTACCATCGATAGCTTTCAATAACACTTTCAATAATATCGAGTTGCATGGGGGTTTCGCCTTGTTTCTTTCACACTCCCATCACGTTTTTCGCGTACATCCACACCCCCGGGTGACTTTAGTTTAGTTGGCTGGATGATTTTGTACGTTTTTTGTTTGGTGACTGACTGATCAATTGGCTGACTGACTGACTGACTGATTGATTGACTGGATAAGTAAGTATTCGGGGGTCTCTCTCTTTCTCTGTTCGTATAGTTTTTGGCTGTAAGAAGAGAGTTCCGCAAGTTGACGAGTCGAAAATAAGGGGAAACGAATCGGAAAAATGTAGAAAAAGTAGAAATGGAAAAACAAGAAACGGAAAAATGCAATCGCGGAGGACCGGAGACCAGAGACTGGCGGAGGCTGACCATCGTCTGGGGGGCATGGAATACAAACCTGTCTTACCTAGCGACGGATTGGGGGAGTGGGGCCGCAGGGAGGCCATGCTGGGCTGCCGGGAGGGAGCCCGCACCGACATCCTGGATCCCCGGCGCTCCTGCCCGTGGAGCAGCTTGCTATCCCGCAGCAGGGAGACGTTCATCAGGCGAGGATTGGGCGTGTTGAAGATGGTCCGGTTCTCCCGCCAGCGAGCTCTGCAAAATTACGGCCAGGAATTAGTCACATTTCACGGCTCCGCGGTTTATCATCATCATTATCCGGTTTATGCGGGGCAAAACAAGCGGGGGTGTAATTGTGCAAAGATATGGATGTATTTATGGGGGCCATGGTTACTCCAACTTAATGCCAATTAATGCAGAAATGCTGTTTATTAGACTGGAAATTAATTGGTGCTCGAATTCTGTATCGCCTGCCAACCACAAATTAATGAAGCCCCATCAAAGCATCGACAGGCCAATTGACCCAGTTTATTGACAAGCCAACGGATGAGCTGGTTGAACTTAAGATTAGGGGTCTTTGATTTTCGATGCAAATATGGCTAAGGAGTTGTCAAGATATGAGATATATGTATCCGTTCAAAAAGGTTTTAAATATTATAGAATTTTATATGATATAGGTATTAAACTTAAAGGAATAAGCAAATCCTTTAGGTTACCTTTCGTAACACATTTTACTTTTTCTAGCTCCTTGGACATATTCACAAATAAATACCCATTATTCGTGCAGTCAAGCGATACGATATCCTTAATGGTCTGTGACTGTTGGCTTAGCCCAGATTTAAAGCTTAAACTATTTGCGTGGGCGTGGGTGTGTGGGTGTGTGGGTGTGTGACTGTGGGGGCGATGAGGATGAAGATGTTTGCATTGCAATTTACTCACTGGCTAAACAATCGCAGGACGACACAAATAATAACAAACATCAATGCCATTCCTACCAGCACGCCAATCATGGCCGGATCGATGTAGGTCTCGGGTCCCCTCTTGTCCTGGCGCCCTGCAAAATGGCCAAATGGCAAAAGGACAAACAACACAGCCCCATTAACCATAAGCAGTGCCGGCTTAATGTCTACTTGCTACTCGACCACCGACCTTTGCACTCCACGGACCCGTCCTTGGCCCAAATGGGCGACATCTCGAACCGGCAGATGCAGCGCCCATCCCGGCATTCCGTCTGGAAGTATCGCATCTCGCACTGCTCGTTGAAGAAGCAGGACTCGTTCACGGCGGCCTCTGCAGGGGGATTATGGAAGAGAAAAATGGGTAGAGAGAAGACCATAAGGAATCAGTTGAGTTGACATGAGTCATGATATGTACAGATACAGGAAAAATGTGTTCCTGTTTAGGGTTAATAGAATTTTTAAAAATATTCTTTATATTTTTGTAGGTACCTATTTGGTTTAAGAATGTATTTTTATGGCAGTTCGAGAATTACTTTTCAATAACCAACAAAAAAAAAGGTATTTTCTCGGAAACAAAGCAAAAAATAATGCGAATTTAGAATGACATACCGCGTTGAGTTCGTATAAAATTGCCAATAGATTGGCATTCAAATTTGAATTTTTAAATTTTTTTCCCAAAGAAAGACAGTTATTTAAGAGAAAAAAAATATCTACACAAAACTGTTATAATTTGCTAGATATATGGTTCTATATTTATCCAGGAATGAACACTTTCAGTTCGAAATTTCCATTTACTTTTTCATCTAGTGAGTAAATTTATCTTTGGGCTAAGTAAATGTCTTGGAACACTATTTACATGGGTAACTATTAAATCCATTTTAAGTTACTGACATTTTCAAGTTAAAACCCTGCTTTTTTTCAGTGACCAGTAAACAAGCGACAACAGGCGAGTGAGACCATATCAGGAAAAATATTTCCCGGCTGTCGCGGCTGTTTGCGGATTGATTTAATGGCTGATTGAAGTGCGATATGGCCGGGGCGGATTGACTTTCCGCCGCTTCGTCCACTCGGCTGACAAATATTATCGTGGAGCAGCCGAGGCGGAGGGCTGGTCTCTGAGACCCGGCGACACTGCACCGGTCGTAGGGGATTACGATACTTGGAGATTGCAGATTGAAGATACTTGGCCAGGGAGCCAAGAGACCACTGAGACTTCTGACTGACTGACTGGCTGTCAGCCACGTCGATGATCAATGGCCGGGAGATTTTGGGCCCGGAATTACAGTTTAGTCACGCCCATAAAAATAGATCTTCGGCTGTCAGCGGTTTTGCCGTCCGATCCCCAGCCATAAATACGCATTCGGAATGTCCCAGCGATTTGATTATAATTTACAGTGTGCCACGCGGGGGAATATGTATTATAATTATGTCAGATGTGCATTAGTTGCAGTTTGCTGCCACCCCCCTGCGGCGGCTGCCAAGTTCCTATTTTAATTTACAGATTTTCCGTCAGCGGCCCGCAATCAAGACAATTTCACTTTGCTGCCACAGCAGCTTTCTTGACTCTTTTTTAATGAAAACTTGGCAGGTTGACAGCAGGGAAAAACAGGAAAAAATGTTAGAGGGAAAAGGTTTCCAGTAATGGCCTTACCTTTGCCACATTTGTCAATGTGATTGGTGACGGGCAGATCCTCGGTGCACTGGCAGGACTTCTTCTTGGGATCGCAAATGGAGCCGGGGAAGCCGCATTCCAGGGTATTATCGCACTTGTCCCCGAACTTCTTCTGGCCACGGCTGGCATAATCTATCGAGAAAAAGAGGATAGGGAAAGGATATTGCGGTTACGTCAACCTGACTAATCCCATGGGTAAAATTTGTAATGAAACCGCTGCTAGAAAACTTTCGATTCGCCACTGTGCATATCAATAAAAAATAAAAGCTGGCACACAAACTTTCTGCGAAATGCTTTCCAAATCCCCCGACGACTTGGGGGCAGATTAAAATGTAAATTCTTTAGCAGCCTTCGAGGTGTTTGTGTGTGCTGCTGGTTTCTTTTTCGCTTTTCACTTTTTTGTTTTTCACCCGTGTGTGTTTTTCCCCCGAGCATACATACTTCGGTGCACTTGAGCCTGCCCGGCTAGGAATCCTTCATTAACTTTGAATGGAATGAAAACACTCGAGTCGGCAGTGAGTTGCGTTTGCGGCCCTTCACATCTTAATTAAGCTCTTGGGAGCAACTCTACGGCATGTGGATTCCATGGATTCCGTGGATTCCGGGGATTCCGGGGTTTCCCCACCCGGCAAAAAAAATCTCAGCCAAGGGTTAGGCCCTCCCTTTTCCACCTTTAATTCTGTTGATACTCCGGCCCCATAATTACCGGGCCCAAAAGCCAAGACCAAGACCAAAACCAAAACCAAGAACATAAGGCAGCGGATGCGCCGACATTTAAGCCAACGGAAGTGAAAAGACAAAACAAAATGGCAGCTCATGCACAAACGGGTGCGCCATTTTCCATTTTCCAGTTCATGCCCATGTGCCAGTATTAGTGGTAGTATTCTTGTGCCATGGGGCGGGCTCTATTTGCTTGCGGTTTATTTTTAAATGCACTGGCTATGAATAGGTTTCTAGTTTGCGAGGGGCTGCGAAAAATGAATGCTAATGCGACTAATGGTGGGCTTTTCAGCAATGCTAGACCGCCGGATACCCAAGTGGAAATATCGCTCATATCTCGAGGGCAGTCACTTCTATAGTTATACAATTTGATATGATATCTGAATAGTTACCCAGTATTATATTGTAGTGTAAAATAGGTATACTTTTTTATTGATCAAGTATTAATTGAAAATTTGTAGTTAAGAAAGTTAATAATGGTTAGCATTTAAGGGCTAAAATGTTATTCGATTAAATCCTTGAAAATATTTATTATTTCTTTTATTTTCTCTTCGCTTTGGGAATTTACAATTTTTTAGAATTGCGAAGGTCAAGCGACTGCCCCATTTTGGGTTAACCCATCTGCAGCTATTACTTATGCATCAAGTGCCAAGCCACATCAATCGACCCCGTGGTACCCTCCACTTGCAGCCTGCCAAGAGGAAACCCAGCTGCCGCAGCACAAAGCTTTGCTTACGTTTTTTCCCCAGATGAGTTTTATTTGGTTTTGGTTTCCGTGGCGCTGCAGCCCCGGCGAGGAAATTCTGTGCTCTGTGAAAGTGTTGACAAAGTGGCTGCCTGGGGGCTCTGCTGTGGACCATGTCCGTGACCCGAGGCCAACCTTTGATGGCCAGAGTGGAAGCCACTGGCTGTGGCCCCACCAAAAAGCGATTACCCAATGGCCAGACTCGAGCCATATTTCACCCGCCGTGGAAGGCCCTAAAATCTGACTACAAATTGCACATGTCAGGCGAGAGCCGAGGGCCCCATATTAAACAGAGCCGGCATTTATAATTAACCAAACTGGGCCGAGCCATTAAAGCCAACTTTGCTTATTTCGGCACCATCATTAGGCCTCCTCGACGAACTGGGTACTAGGAAAAAAAAGCCATGCGAGTACATGGAAAACTTTTCACATTCCGACTAGCACACATTGCAGACAGGCCATTTAAGTTTTGGATGAGAAAACTACTCTAATGCTCGAAGGGATGAGGACGAAGCACGAACCCAAGCACATTGCCTTAGAAGCTTTCAGCAAATGGGATAACAAAAAGGCAAGGAAATTATATAAGGAATTCCTGTATTGTATGGCAGTCTGAAAAGCGCTTAAAGGCACACAGCTTCCAAGGATTAAGTTTATTAAAAAGCAGAAAGGATGTGAACTCAGTTCAAGGTAAGAACTAAACAAGCAAAACATATTTCAGGAATCTTTTAATGTACAGTGCTGAGGTAAAAATATTAAAAAGACCTTTATTACACGTCCTAACACGCATCTTTAAAGTTTGTACTCCTTTTAAAAAGGAGACTATGACAGGCCCTTTTCAAGACTCTTAGAATTAAATGCCACTGTAGAGCTTATGCAATTGCAATGGAATTGCCGCCAGCCAGAGGAACAAAAGGCTGTCAAGGCAGCCAGCATACAAATGAGCATATGACACCTCGATGACGACGACGCCATTTTGCAGTCTATGTATATCGCATTCCTAAATGAGGCTAAGCCCATCGTAATCCCGCTGCCTGGTGCAGCATCCTTATCTGGGCCTTGGACTACTTACCGAACTCTGGCGTTGTCGTCTCCGGACCCGCACTAAAGGCATTCACGGCAAAGAAATTATCGCCGTCATCGCCGAGCGTCAGCGGCGGCAGCAGGGCAATAACGGAAATCAGGCACAGGACCAGACCGTTAAGGCGCTCCCAGCCCGCACCCATCATCCGCCGGCCGTGCTTCATCGGAAGTCGAAGGCCAAGGCTCTTCCGCTGATGCCCCACGTTGGGCGCCATTAATATGGTATGCGTTTTCGCGGCGGTGGTGGTAGCTATCCCCTTGCCTCTGCCTCTGCCTCCAGTTGTTTTTCTGGGCGTGGGTGTTGTTGATGTTGTTCTCTCTGGTTTGAGGACCAAGTTGACTTGGCAATTGTTGCTGCTGCTGCTGCTGTGGTTGGTGGTCAAACACTCAGCGTCTGTGGCCTCGTCGTCTTCATCAGCTGGCTGCTGTTGCTGTGTCTCACATGTTTCGCGGGTCTCGCGCCTCAGGGGCTGGCGGCCCTTGAACGTGGCAGCTCCTTGACGGGGCCGGGGCTCTAGAGCCCCATCTAATCTCATATTACTCGATCGTCGTCGTGCTCCTCATCCATGCTGCTCCGACTATATCAATTTGCACACTATTGGCCTGGCTCCTCTGCTCCTGTTTTTGGTTTTTCTAGCTTGACTTTTTGCCCTCGTTTCCGGTTCACATCAAAGTCTGTCACTGCAAGAGGAAGAAGAAACGGAAAATGGTTTTGGGTTAGTTGGGTTTGGTTTTGGTGTTTGTTGTTCGGTAGTAGTTTTTGGCTGGGCGTTTCAATCAGGGGGACAAAGCCGGGCTAATCACTTTGCGGCGTGTGAAATTACAAACCGCTGTTGAAACAATTTCCGAAAGTGCCACCAAAAGTCTGTAACTGAAACCGAAATTGACACATAGTCTCGGCTCCACCCATGCCGCTGTCCAGTTGGCCAGAGCCAGGACGAAAACTGTCACTGGCTGTGGGCGGCTTTCTGGCCTTTTTGGCACTGCACAGCGAAATTGAGTGACGGCCAATTTGTGTGTCTATGACAGTTAATTGGATTAGGCGCACCCACAGCCGCCGGCCAACGGATATGGACGTTCAAATCCATTGTTGAGCCGAAAAATATTGCAGCATTTAATTAAAATCTATTTTCCATTATACTATTTAATGGCATGACAATGATTTGCGAGCTGTGGTTGCGCAGGACACGACCGAGCGTTAAATAAATCATGCATTTCGGAACATGCAACGCATGTTGGGCGACAAGTGGCGCTTGTTTAGTCAGCGATTATGGGCCATGTCAGGGTCTGTGGCCAAATTGTGGCATTCGTCTGCATATCTGGTCGAAACATGCACTCCAGGCCGGTCAAATAGTTACCTCAAGCCGAGAGCAACACAATTTATTGGCCAAAATAAACACAGAATTTCAGCATTAATAACAATCAAGTTAAGTGGCAGCTTAAGCTGAGAACTTAACAGCTATTGAGGCTCAACCACAATTATTTTAGGAAATTTATGCAGTCCACAGCAATCAAGATTTTAGTTATAACCAGGTGGAACAATAAACTGCAGTGCGGCTGAATAACGTGCAACCAAAACCACACAGTGGCCTTAATAAACACTGTTGCGGAGCATTAAAAACCATCCATTTTAAATGCGGCTTGTCTGCTTTTCATGTCTCAAAATGTCCCCACATCTATTTATAAAGATTTGTCAAAAGAATGCCAACCACAAGTATTTTTAGAAATTTGTCTACGTCCTTGGGGGGAAAAGTCTATTGTCTCAGGCTATTTTAGATATATATATAGTACAAGTTGAGGTAGTTCATTGTTTTTTTTTAGACACAAAGAAAAAACAAACTTTTTCCACACGGTTTTATTTCTAGGATCAATCCGAGCTTAAATTGAAATCCCTGAACCTACAGAAAGTACAAAAATGTCCGCAGTTCTATTTATAAAGATTTGCCAAAAATGAAGGGCTAATCGCAATTGTTTATGGAAACATACACTCATGAGGAGCGTCCTTGACAGGCAAATGCCTTTGTTCTGGGCCTTGGTTACCAGCCAAATGAGCCAGCTTTGCTGCTGATTTGAGAATAAATGCTTTCGGGCACCCAAAGGAGAGACTTTGCCAGGATTTTCCAGCCATGAAGAGGCAGACAGTGAAAATCCTCATTCGCTTGTAATTTATGCTCGCTCGCAGCGAATGCGTTACACAAATTCATCGGTTTAAGCCTTGGTTTGGGTTTTCCGTTACGATTACGATTGCGGATATGTCCTGCGAGGAGGAACTCGTAAACGCGTGACGCACTGAGGCGCAAATGATGTACGGGAAACATGTTGCATATTTATGCCGACATAAATGCACATATGTTATGCCCAAACCCCCCTTATTGGTAAACCGAGGAATTGTTTTTCGTTTTTCATAAATTCATGCGTTGTCAATTGGACGATGAGTATTCATTACACGGCGTATACGCAATATATTCCATGTGACTGCCTTTCGGGGGAACACGGGGACTTAAGAGGATGACAAAAGAGGATTGGGCACGGGCATGGTGATGTTGATGGGACAAATGCCTGACACATGAAAGGCAACCACGAACAAGGAAATTACAACCATAGTATCAGCAACAACAGCATCTGCCGCAACGGATGTCGTCCCAACTTTGCGGGTACAGTGAAAGTTCCCACACTATATCCACACTGCAATCCTGTCGAGTTTATCCGCTGCCACGAGCACAAGTTCAATTTGCTCACTAATTAGTAATTACTGGAGTAATGAAATCAAATTGGACTTCATTTCATGGCACTTCTTTGTTCGCTCTCCGCCTTTGTTTGCCGCTCGTCAGACACAGAGTTCACTGTACTCACAACACAAAGTGGGGTAACTTGCAAACTAACCAAGTACGTAAATTAAACATTTCTTACCAATAAAGTTTTTAATTAAGAATGTGATTGGGTGGGTGTGTCTTTATTTCGCTGTTTCATAAATACTTTTTAAAGAGGACTTCAAGATGTTTTCAAGATTTTAGCTTAAATTATATTTCTGTAAAAACAAATACTAATATTCCCTTGAATTTTTCGGTAAACTAAGTTAATTTTTGCCCAAGACTAGTCCTCACTGTAGCACGTGTGCCGTGTTCGTTTTGCCGGCGGCTGTACGAAATATTTTCGCCTGCGACAACGTGTCGTATGCGCAACGCAGAGGCCCACGCAGCGGAGGTTACCCTAATCAGGACGAGATCGTGCTAATTAACATGACACAAGCATAATTCATAAGGCAGGTGGATGGCTGATTCATCCCATCCCCCAGTTTCCAGTTTCCCAGGATATAATGTTTTGATGTGTGTGGGACGAGAATGGTCCAATAAATACTTTCGGAGCCCAGGAATAGCCATTGTTTTAGCATAAGCCTCAAGGACACGCGCTTAGGGGTGTAAAAGTAAGAAAATAAAACTACAAACAGTCGCAAAGAGCCAATTCAGAAATTCGTGCAATAAATTCAGCAAACAATGGCTAAGGACACACATGTGCCGAGCGCCCACGTGTGTGTGCGTGTGTGCCGTTCGAGTATTTGCAGTAACAACAATGCATAGCCAAACATACATGGCTAAGCCAAACAATGGGCCCTTCCACATGGCAAAGCCGGCGGAACGAGGGCAAACAGCGCCAGTCCAAGTGGGCTCGAGCTCCACAGACGCCGCCAAAACGAAACGCACTCTGGCTAAGCGCCAGCCGGATGGATACTCGGCTCGCAAAAGATACAGATACAGATGTAAACGCCGATACAGATACAGGGCAACTTCTTGAGGTGGAATCAGGAAATAAAGAAGGAAATAAAACTTTGGACGAGAAAAACACAAGGAATTCTTGTAAAACTATAAATTTTGAGTACAACAAAATAGTTTTTTAATTATTTTTACAAGATTAAGTAAGTATTTTTGGTGTATCCTAAAAATTAAATCTATTTTTCCCACATTTATTTATCCTTTTTATTTTTCCCTAGTTTGACATTGATCCACTTTTAATTTGGCTAATGAAAAGCGACATTTGCTTTATTAATTGGCACATTGAAATGCGACACAGAGCCAATGTAAACAGGAAAAAAGTGAATGCACCAAATATCGGTGACAGGATGGCATTGAAAAAAAGGGAAAGCCAATATTTACATCAATTGATTACTTTGCCTGCACGGGGAAAAAAGGTTTCACTTGTTACAAGTGCTAAAAAAAAGATTATAATATTTAAATTAGGGAAACACTACTGTACTTGGTGCATGCTAAACTTTATTGATTGCTGATGGGAGCAATCTAAGTGCAGAATCTAAAGACCAGAGCCAAAATGCAGTTCGCTTCGCATATTTTAAGCGGCCCTCCATCGATTGAGGCCAGAATCTTTGCGAATGCGTGCCATTACAGCAATTATTTGCCAAGATTTATGTGCTCGGAACAAATGGCCTGGCATTTGGCACACACAAGCACAACCACAGACACCGAGAGACAAGAGGCAAGAGGCAGTCAGTGACTCGGACAAAGGACCAAGGGACGAAGACGGATAACCACACCATTGCTCTTGGCCAACCAAAACGACACCCACACAAAGGCCCCTCGATGTGCCATTTAATGGGCTCCAAGATTCGGCCAAACTAATAGAATCTGCTCTTATTTTATTTGAGGAACCCACACACTCGCGTCCCCGAAATAAATCCAGCTTGCGGCTACAATTCAATGATTAAATCAATATTTCAATGTCCGAAATGAAGTCAAATCGATTAGGGACAATGAATTTTCCTCAGCTCAAGTAAAAGCATTAGTTTGAAAAATATTCAAGGATTCACTTCCTTAGCAGAAAATAAACATAAACTAAGCAAAATAAAGTCAATTATTTGTTTACAGCTCTCACTTCATTTAGCCATATATTCGTTTGCAGCACAAACCGCAAACTCAAACCAATCCAATCTTAAGCCTCAATAATTAAATCAATGTTCTACCTTCCAACGAGACCTCAATTTGGGGCCAGTGATTGAATTGGAATTTTCAGAATTAATTAAACCCCAGTCAGATATGAAAGTATGACGGTATGAAGGTAAAAATGCTGAGAGCAATGAAATTTGCTAATTGGATTGCCCTCAACTCTTGCAAATTTCAGTGTGGCAAATTGAATGCGTTCCGACCCGCGGGGAATCGCTCTGAATTTTCTGGCGCTGTCGATGGCGATGGCGAAAATTAAACCCAAATGAAATGGGCGATTGAGCAATCAGTGGGCAAGAACATCGCATCGATTCGAGTCGATTACAGGTCATTGGATGGCGTTCCTTTGTCCTGGTCTCCAGATGCATTTCTGTGGCCACGCTCCATGAATCAGACCCCCGAGGCTCACTTCCCTTTTGCGAAGGTGGAGTAATGAAATTGAAAATAACGAAAGTTGTCCTGGCACTTTAATTGTCGGAGGTCCTAAACAAACTCCCTCAGTGCGCGCTGTTATTTCTATTAAAAACTTGTTTTGCCGTTGAATTACTTTTGAAATGAAATTGCACGCTCCTTTGAGCTTCCTAATAGAATTACCAACTGCGACAGAAAAAGAAGTATATATTAATATGAAAATTCGCTAGTTAATTCGTGACTCATTCCATTTCACTTGCCACGTAAAATCCGATCCATTTACCCTCGCTTACTCTGCGGCAGACGGCATAGTGTGAG